TTCCTATTTATACTTATGTCCTACTTATACTACTTATACTACTTATACTACTTATACACCCTTATGTATATGTATGTACACCTTATTATGTCTTATTCCTATTCATTTTCTTACTCTTTTCACTTTCTATATCCAAGCATTCGTGCCCGAGTGGTCTAAGGGGGCCGTCTCAAGAACGGCTATCGCAAGATGCGTGGGTTCGAACCCCACCGGATGCATTCTTTTATCTCCTCCTTATATACTCTCTATTATCCTATTATCCTATTATCCTTATTATCTCTCTTTTCTATCCTATATCTCTCATTTCTTCTATCTCTATTATTACCTTAGGGGATGTAGCTCATTTGGTAGAGCTTTCGCTTCGCATGCGAAGGGCAAGGGGATCGATACCCCTCATCTCCATTATTATCTAGATATCCTTTATTACTTCTACTTATATATCTATATATCTATATATCTATATATCTTTATATGTTTATATGTTTATATCTTTATATCTTTATATCTTTATATCTTTATATCCCTTTCTTCTTATGTATACCTCTATCTATTTTATTATCTATATTATTCTTTATGTCTATACCTATATATGACTACTTGACTATACTATGTTCTTATATTCTATACTTATACTACCTACACTTTATCTTATTATCACTTTATTACTTTATTACTTTATTACTTTATTACTTTATTACTTTATTACTTTATCACTTTATCACTTTATCTTTACTACTTCTTCTATACCTATATACTTCTATACTTCTATACTATATGTGTGTATCTTATACTTTGACTTATACCTTAATACTTTTATACTTTTATACTTTTATACCTTTATACCTTTATACCTTTATACCTTTGTATCTTTATAGACTTCTTTATTTCTGTATTTATATATCAAAGCATTCGTGCCCGAGTGGTCTAAGGGGGGCGATTTAAGCTCGGCTATCGCAAGATGCGTGGGTTCGAACCCCACCGGATGCAATCTTTTATACACTTCTATATATTCTCTATTATCCTATA